AGGGACCTGTCACTTGGCTCTAACAGAACATGGCAAACATGGTGGAGTGTCACTGCCGTGATTACCTCATGTCACATAAGACAAGTCTGTTTTAGCAGGCTGCACTCAGAGATTCTCCCTGCAAGTGTGGTGAGATAAGCAGCCTCACCAAACCTGCGAGGAGACACAGTCCATGCACTGCTACATGCTCCACAGGGTGGGAGGGATCACGGCTAACATCATCTTCATCACTGGAGACCTGGTTCCTGCCATAGGGCTCAGCACAAAACAGGGGCTCAATAGGTAGTTGGGAAGTGAGGCAATGAAGGAGTGAAAAAATGCCAACTTTCCTTCGGTCACTTTGAAAATCTCTCACCTGGGTTAACATCAGTAGCCTCCTGATCTTGTCCTTTATACTTTCACTTCTCTATAATCCATTCTCCACACAAGAGCCAGGATGATCTTTTAAACAACAAATCAGGTTCTAAAATTAGATCATGGTGATTGTTGCACAACTCCGTAAAAGTTAGAAACCACTGAACTGCACATTGAATTCAAATGGGTGAATCTTAAGAGTATGTAAATTATATCTCAATTAGATTGTTTAAAAATTGTCATTCCCTTAAAACCTTTCACTTGTTCCCATTTCACTTAGTCACTCAGAATTCACCAGGTTACTTACAAAGACCTACAGAATCCTACCTATCCCATGGGCTCTGCCTCCCTCTCCATTCTCAGCGCTCATCACCACTTGCCTCCCACTAGTCCCTGAATCTGCCCATCTTGTTCCTGCCTTAAGGTCTCGCACTTGCTCTTAGCTTTGTCCGATCCTCTTCATCATATTCTGAGCGATGCCTCTTACCGTTCAGGTTGTCCCATGTTAGCCCATGCTATTGTCAATCACCACTCTACAACTCCACCACCCCACACACTTTCTATCATATTACTATTTATAGCGCTTCTCACTCTTTGAAAAAAATTCTTTTAATTGTTTTCCTTACCGGAATATACACTCTTTGAGAGTAGAGAATCTTGCTGCTTACCTCTGAAGAACATGCCTGAAACACACAGTTGGTACTAACAAATACAAGTTAAATGTTGATTGCCTGGTTCCTGCATAGATAGTTTATTCTGCCAAGGCTGTTGGGGAAAAAACTAGTATCTACCTTAGTGTATCTTTCTAAGAAAAAAAGATGTTTTAAAAAATTCATTGCTTTGGAACGATTTGTTATTTTTTACATGGCATGGCAAAATTAGCAAGCTTCTAATTTCAGTGAACAGATTAAAATAATGTTAATATCCCACTATACAAGACATATTATAACACTGAAATTTTCAAACATATGCACCCCTATGGGGGGGGGGGTGGCAGCAGATCTTCCATCCAGACCATTATTAAGTGGCATTTGCAGACTTAAAAGCATTTGGATATATACAAAAACATCTAGATCATAAGCGTTTCCTCATTCTACTTTCCTTATTTAGAACTCTCAGAAAGCCAAGGTAATATTTGTAAAAAATATACTTAAGAAAAGTTTTCCTTTTAATACTACACTCCTGTTAATTATAATTTCAATGATATAGTTCAATCATAGCCACATGCTCTGAACTACTTTTAATAACATCTAATTCACACAAGACTTTGCTGCTTCAAAGTGCTTAAACATTGTCTCATTTGGCTTTTGCAACAGCCTATGGGTTACATCATTAGCACTTTTGTGAAGAAGGAAAAGTTCAAAGAGTTAGAGACACTTGCCCAAGGTACCACCACTCGTAAGGAGGGATTCTCCCCAAGTGTTTTTCTGACAAATCACTTGCCCTTTCCTCTTAAGGCCTCATCTCAGAAATCATCTCTGTTCTCCTTACAAATTATGCAACAAGAAGTGATAGCAATCTAAAGTACTCCAGGGAATTAAGAACTGGGGATAGTAAATAATGCAACTATGAACACTGGGGTGCACATATCTTTTCGAAGCAACCTAAGTGTCCATCGACAGATGAATGGATAAAGATGGAATATACAATGTATGATGAATGGATATACAATGCAATACTACTCAGTCATTAAAAAGAAGGAAATTTTGCCATTTGCAACGACATGGATGGGCCTGGAGGGCATTATGCTAAGTGAAACAAGTCAGACAGAAAGACAAATAGTTTATGATTATCACTTATATGTGTAATCTAAGAAATACAACAAACTAGTAAATATAACAAAAAAAGCAGACTCAGAGATACAGAGAACAAACTAGTGGTTACCAGTAGGGAGAGGGAAGGGGGGAGGGCAATATAAGCGTAGGGGAGTAAGAGTTACAAACAATTAGGTATAAAATAAGCTATAACGATATATTATACAACACAGGGAAGATAGCCAATATTTCATAACTATAAATGGGGTATAACCTTTAAAAATTGTGAATCACCATATTGTATACCTGTAACTCATAAAATATTGTACAGCAACTCTACTTCAAATAAAAAAATCTCAAAGGCATTATAATGAGTGAAACATGAAAAAGAACTGTAAATAGAATTAAGTGATTGGCATTCAATCAAAAATTACTTCATTTTGATAATCTATACATTCCAGAAAAGTCATCAATTTGGGCTTTAGCATCACAAATTATACACAGTCTAATCTGTGTTTGTTGTGGCAATACTGACTTATGGAAATATCTTTGTTTTTGGTATTTTTAAAGACTGGTCTCCCATAGTTTTTATCAATACAAACTACAGGCTCAATTTTTAAAGCTTTTCAGAAGGAAATCAGTGTTTTAATAAGTAACACTGTGTATCAGGAAATATCCTTATACTAGCATTTAAGAAGTGCTTGCTTATATCCAGAGTTTTAAAAAATCATTAGCATGGGAGGTTTTTAAGATTTTACGTTCTACATGGAACCTCGCTGACATTAAATGATTGACACCCTTTTCTAAACCTACGGGATGCCTGATACTGATTTCTGTTCCAATTGTTAAGATGCATTAGTTTCTCAGAGGTCTTTGATAAATCTATCCAACTAATCTTCAAGGATTTCTCCTTAAGCTCTATATACTTAGCATTCCCACACAGACCCACACAGCTTTTCCAAGGCAATTCTAAAAACCAGTATATCGGGCTTCCCTGGTGGCGCAGTGGTTAAGAATCCACCTGCAAATGCAGGGGACACGGGTTTGAGCCCTGGTCCGGGAAGATCCCACATGCCACGGAGCAACTAAGCCTGTGCACCACAACTACTGAACCCATGTGCCGCAACTACTGAAGCCCGTGCGCCTAGAGCCCATGTTCCGCAACAAGAGAAGCCACCGCAATGAGAAGCCTGCACACCACAAGAGGAGCCCCCGCTCTCCGCAACTGGAGAAAGCCTGAGCGTAGCAACGAAGACCCAACGCAGCCAAAAATAAAATTAAAACCAGCATGTCCTTACATAAATATCTAAGCACTTAATCTCTAGAGACACCACTTGGGCTGCTATTCCAGCTAATAAGATTAATAATTTTTTTTTTTAGTTTTATTTATTTGGGGCTGCATTGGGTCTTCGTTGCTGCACGCGGGCTTTCTCTAGTTGCAGTGAGCGCGGGATACTCTTTGTTGCGGTGCGCGGGCTTCTAACTGCGGTGGCTTCTCTTGTTGCAGAGCACGGGCTCTAGGTGCGTGGGCTTCAGTAGTTGTGGCACACGGGCTCAGTAGCTGTGGTGCACGGGCTTATTTGCTCCGCGGCTTATTTGCTCCATGGGATCTTCCCGGACCAGGGCTCGAACCCGTGTCCCCTGCACTGGCAAGCAGATTCTTAACCACTGTGCCACCAAGGAAGCCCAGATTAATAAATTTTGATGTATCAATACTTTAGGGAAAACTAACAATCTGTTCCTTGAGAGAGTTCTGTTGATTGCTTAGGATGAGAAAAATGCTCAACCAGTTTATTCACTATTCACATATTTTATTATTATTCTTGGCAACTAACTGTCATTTAAAAACCAAGAAATACCCTATAAAATTTGCATTTTCCCATGTGTTGTTGTTTTGCATACCCTTCTTTACCAACCCCTATTCCCACACAGCTCAACCTCCTCCCCCCAAAAGACAACCATTTTCCTTTCTCTGAATGAAGATCATGTTGCAGTTCCTTACTGTAATGACCTGCTTATCTATTCTTTACCTTTAAAACTGAGTAAATCCTACAGCTATCATTAATCCAGTAACTTGATTTTCATAAAGGATCTGAGGGGCTACCAGGTCTCAAACTGCCTTCTAAATCAAACATTAATGATGTTCTGCAGTTTTTAGATTAAATATACTTTATTAGGCACTAATTGTTTGAAAGTCTGGAACATATATATCATAAAACTAATTTGCTATTTCACTAGAACATGCATCTGAATTAAGTCATCTCCTGGTTCTGCTGTGTACGCCACATACATAGAAATACAGAGATAGATCTGTTCAATAAATTATGAGACACACAAGACACACTAAAATTCTCACACTCTATGAATGTATTAACCACACAAGGACATGTGATTTCAATAAGCTGACAATGTTGTCCCAGGACTGATTAATGTAGCATACCTGCTAATAAACTTTGGTTTGGGCACCACCTAATGGCAGAAAATATTTTTTTTTAGAACCTACTTTGCTTTGCTTCCTGAGGCTTGCTAACTTTTGCAGTTCAGTTTATACTGATTTAGAAAATGTTTGCTCTTTATCAACCTACATAAATAGTTTTAAGTGTTCAGTTTTTTAAAAAGGATAAAGCCTTACCTTGGAATAATAAACTACTTTTCACACTGGGAAAATGTGCCAATGAAATGCTTTAAAAAATTCTATTCGATCCTTAAATATTTAAATTGAGCCTCATAATTAAGACGTTTTCATTGAATCAACTTAATTAGGGGTTCCCAAACTTTTAAAACCATACACATTTAATTTTTTTCAAGAGATGCCTGCCTGAACCTAGTGTTTGTTTCATGATTCAACAAAGAGGCAAAATATTTGGGATAATACAGAGCAGATAACTGATGTTTTAAGAAAAGGAATTTATTATTTACACCACTGAAAGAGTCCCCCGTAAGAATACATACCATGTTTATTTGAAAGAACCAGATTCCTTTCAAATAGAAGAACTGTATAAAGCAATACCGTCAACACAAAACAGTGGTCACATTACATATCTGCAGGCATAAGCATTGCAAATAAATTTCGTTAATCTTATGGCTAGATATTTTCACTGCAACACAGTGTTTGCACTTAGAGAAGACAGAGCTGGAACAGAACAAAAACTTTTTGTTCATGCTTTTTAGGACTGAACCAGTGACACGTCCCATTTTAAAATGTACTGCCTTTAACTGCTTTTAGGACAACGGTTTTAGGCAGGAGTGCTTCTACTTGGCCACCACAAAGAAACACACTCTTGTTCCTTAGTTTCATTCCTCAGTCTCATGTTTTCTATTTGTCACACTATGACATATCTGTATCAGAGCAGACGTTTTCCAGTTTTACTCAAAGAACACTGACACACATACACACCAAACTGAGACAGCTCAGAATTTAGAGATGTAGGTAGTGGAGTAATAATAGAAATTGTGTTTATGACAAAGGAATAAGAAAAACTCTCAGTGGTTTTAAGCATACTAAACTAGGTTCCTTACTAAAAACTTTTCTTTTTTTGGTTTTAAAAACAGTAGTTTCAAGGTGGGTTTGGGCTTAGACAACAACACAGTGAGACAAACACACAAGACATACTTATTTCCAAAGTCACAAAATGACATTGTTAAGCATACATTTTTGTCCACTTTTTTTGTGTGTGTGGGAATAAAACTCAGTACTCTATGTTGGAGAAAATATTTTTCAAGAGTTACAGTATATTCATACAGGGGGAAAAGGTGGGTTTTTTGTGTGTTTTTTTTGGCGTATTGCTATGATCTTCAAAAAATATAAAATTAAATTTACAAAAAACTGGAAGACCAAGTATAAGCAGTCTGATGTTTGCTGCAGTGTCCAGCACTATCATAATGATCTTTAGCATAAAAGCAAAAAGAAGTTCATGGGTCTCAAGTATCTTCAATAACTGCCAGTATAGCTTGTAACTACTGTCCTTGCTTCTTTGAGAGATACCTGCAAGAAATAAAATAAGATGTCTAAGCTGTATCACACTAAATTTAACTTAACAGTCTAACTCTCCTCCCTAAAGAAAGTTGTTTATTTTAATAACAAAACTTTTCAAGGTAAGTAATAACTGTTAATAATCGCTAACACGTGTTGTTTATGTGCCAAGCACTGTTCTAAGTACATGCATTAATTCATTTAGTCCTCACAACAGTTCTATGAGTGTTCAGTGAGAACTTATTTCTATTTTACAGTCACAGAGAGGTTAAGCAATTTGCCCAAGTTCATACAGCAAGAAAGTGGCAGAGTTCAGATTGAAAACAGGCTCTGGAGGCTACACACTATCACTCCACACTGCCTTACTTCCAAATGTGAAAGCAATATATTAACTAGTATTATAATTTCCCCCCAAAACCCAAAGTCCATTTGAAGATCTTCTTGCATAAAGGTAGTGAGCCAAAGCTGCTAAAGAACTCTGATCAAGAGTGTAAAGATGCAAAGATGTTAATTCACCAAGCAAATTTTTCTTCATATTATTTTATAGGAGTCTACCAACAAATTAAAATTTTTACATCTCTATTTCTCACATTTATGAATTACTATATACTCAGAGCTATGGGGGTGGGGAAAGAG